CCGCGGAAACACAAGGCGAAAAGGGCGGTCCTGGATTGCTGATCAACGGGAGCCATCGGTGTTGGTCACAAGGGTAAACAACACAAAGGCACGTACTAATATGGCCTTGTTTAGTTCTAAAAACAAAAATTTTCACCCATCACATTGAATGTTTGGACACATGCATAGACTATTAAATATGGAAAAAAAATCAATTACACAGTTTGCGTGTAAATTACGAGACAAATCTTTTAATCCTAATTGCGCTATGATTTGACAACGTGGTGCTATAGTAAACATTTGCTAATGACGAATTAATCAGGCTTAATAAATTCGTCTTGCAGTTTTCTGGCGGAATCTGTAATTTGTTTTGTTATTAGACTATGTTTAATACTTTAATACTTCAAATGTGTATCCATATATTTGATGTGATAATCAAACTAAAAAATTTTCCCCAACTAAACAAGGCCTAACTCGCGTATGTACGTTTGGCATAACTATGATCTTTATATATACGCGTGCGAATTGTTCACCGTGTACAGTGAAAGTTGTCCGGACATCCTAATACGACAAATCCCTCTTTCAATATACGACGATATTGACTTTAAGATATTAGTTAGACCATCTATCTTATTTAAAAATTTGATGAAAACACATGAAAATATGCTTAAAGAAAACAAGTCACAACCAAATAAATTACTTAACATATTTATTTTCGAAGAAAGATAAACGGTAAAACGTTATATCAAAATTGAACAGTGTTATATGCTCCATTCTCGGATTTCATATTGAGATATTTGATTTGAGATTAGAAAACTGGGAAGAAGAAAGAACATGTTACTAACGTGTTATGCTGGCAATAAATCACACCGGATCGATGAGTGGCCTCTACGCGTGACACGGCAGTCGTGACAGACGAGTGAATAAAAAATAAAGAAAAAATAAACGAAAAGTAAGCGCATGTCATCCAATCCGAGCCAACGGACGCGGCGCCCTGCCGTCCGGACGAGTCCATGGTCCAATTCTTGTCTGTTAAATAATCATGGTGGCTGCGACCAAAACAGATCAAAACTAGTACACGTCACAAAACAAAAGAAAGAGATTAAGGTGATGTTTGTTTGATGTCTAACATTGCCATAACTAGTTAAAGTATAGTGGCATAAGTGTGGCTTAGAAATAGTTAGCCAAAATGTGGCAAGCTTAACTTCAAATTTAAGAGTATGACATGTGGGTCCTTAAGGTTATGAAAGTGTGGCATAACACAATTGCCATAGCGAGCCAAACACATACCTAAGAAATTGTGGCATAACTAAAGTGTGGCGTAGCAAAGTGTGGCAACCAACCAAACAGCCCCAGTCCCATTACTACTAGGTCTACCTCCTTAAAAAAATTGGTTTATTTTGAAAATATCCAAATTTATGTATGAAAGTTAACATATTTTAGGATAGAGTAATTAATTAATGACGTACAGGTACTAAAACACCTTTCAAATTTTTATTACGTGTACTAGTACTGGCAATAAGAGTGTACGACTGTACGAGAAATCTCATCTGGTAATCCCAAAAACATAGCAGTGATAACTCAGCTGAAAAAAAGAAAGTAAAAAAAAAAGTACTTCCAAAACAAATTTTTTCACCCTGCCACATTAAATATTTGAACACATACATGAAATATTAAATATAGATAAAAAATCAATTACACAGATTGCGTGTAAATTGTGAGACGAATCGTTTAGGCTAATTGCGCCATGATTTAACAATGTGATGCTACATTAAACATTTGCTAATGACGAATTAATTAGGCTTAATAAATTCGTTTCGCAGTTTTTATACGGAATATGTAATTTATTTTGTTATTACACAACGTTTAATACGTTGAAAATGTATCCTTATATCCGACACCTTAAAACAATTTTTTTTCTGCCACGCCTTAGCAAACAGACAGGCAGGAGGGGAAAAAAAGAATTGAAAAGAAAAGAAAAAAAAAAAGAAGGTGGCAGCACGAGGCCACGAGCTTTGGGGGGCCGTGGGCGGTGGGCCCCGCCCCGCATCCCCCGCCCAGCCCAGCGCACCACGGACGGTGGCGAGGCGAGGGCGCCTGCCGCCCACGTGGACCCTGACGCCCCGCGTGACGTCGCGCCCCGAGGCCGGAATATGACACGCGGGCCCCCCCTTCCTCCACCACCACCAAACGGGGCGCGCGTCGGCACGCCACCCCACACACCACGCGAGTACGTACGGGACGACGCGGCGCGCGGCTGCTCGACGGCTTCGGTTCTGAGCCCAGCGCGCGCGCCGGGTGGTTTGGTTGGTTGGTTGGGCGAAGAAGCGATCGAAGCCGGGGGTGTAGTACGCTCCTCACCCGACTCGTTTCCGTCCGGGCGCCGCGCCGCGCCGCCTCGCCTCCTACCGCACGCACCCCCAACTTGCGCCCGCCTACGCTCAGCGCACCCGTTTGAGTGTACCCGGACGGGAACCTGGGCGGATAAATGGTGGCCTTTTTTGGATGGATGGTGCTGAAAGGGCCAGGTTCAATGAATCTTCGATTCGTGCGTGCTGGAGTATACTGTACAGTGCAGATCAGGTGCCACTAGCAAATGTTTTTGACAAGTAAGGTTTGGTTTGGATTTCGGTGATTGCTTGGAGTGGCGCATTCTTGTCAAATGAGATTTAATATATACATATAAGATATGGATTTTTTCATGTGGATGCAACCGTTTCTGTTTTCACGTGGATTCTTGCTAAATGAGTTATCCTAGTATATTTTTTTTCCATTGTTGTGTTCCTCATAACCAACATCGCCTTGTTTGGTAGCCACCGTTACAATTGTTAAAAGTCGCTAAAAGCTGTAGCACTTATAAAACTGTTGCAACCGCAAAATATCGTCTAAACACGGCCTATATTGGATTTTTCTAAAAAGGCATGATTCTACTTTGTTTCCATTACCTTTTCTCTAATAAGACAGGTATATGCATCTACTCCCTCCGTACTCGTAAAGGAAGTCGTTTAGGACAGCGACATGGTCTTAAAACACAACTTTGACTTCTTTTTTCTATAAAAATATTTATTGAAAAGTGATATATGTATACTTTTATGAAATTATTTTTCAACACAAATCTATTCATATAATTTTTATATTTTCAAACTCAACAACTTGAGAGTTATTCATGATTTATATTCCCAAGGTTTGACTTAAACATTGTCCTAAACGACTTCCTTTATGAGTATGGAGGGAGTACTAATATTTAAAATCCACATACTCTAAAACTTCATTTTTGTTATAAACAAACTTTATATTCGAAGTTTGCGAAACATTCATATGTGATTAAAATTGTCGCAAACTTTTTGTTGCAAGAAATAAATTTTGTTACCAATAAATATTCATTATGTTTTTGGAAGGATGCATATTTCATTGAAAAGAAGCAACTTTCCTCCAAAATAACATATCATTTCCATCATGTTAACGCGAAAACATCTATTATATAATTAAAGAAATAGAAAAAGGAGCCTCCACGTTCGCTCTCATGGTCTAGAAATTCTCACATTAATCGGAGAAAAATAAAAAACAGAGTCCATATAGAAATACAATTTAGAAATAGCTAAAATTCAGAATTAAAAAAATAAGGAATATTAAAAGAGGAGACTAGAGTCCATATAGAAATACACTTTAGAAATAGTTGAAATTCGGAATTAAAAAATAAGAAATATTAGAAGAGGAGTATAGAGTCCATATAGAAATATAATTAAGAAATAATAGAAATTCGGAATTAAAAATAAGGAATATTAGAAGTAGAGTATAGAGTCCATATAGAAATATAATTAGGAAATAATAGAAATTCTGAATTAAAAATAAGGAATATTAGAAGTAGATTATAGAGTCCATATAGAAATATAATTAAGAAAAAAAATAGAAATTCGAAATTAAAAAATAAGAAATATTAGAAGTAGAGTATAGAGTCCATATAGGAATTTAAAACTAACTAAAATTTGGAAAAAAAAAAGAAGCCTCCACGTTTGCTCTGATAACATTAATCAGAGAAAAAGAAAAAGCAGAGTCCATATAGAAATACAATTTAGAAATAGCTAAAATTCGGAATTAAAAAATAAGGAATATTAGAAGAGGAGACTATAGTCCATATAGAAATACAATTTAGAAATAGCTGAAATTTGGAATTAAAAAATAAGGAATATTAGAAGAGGAGACTAGAGTCCATATAGAAATACAATTAGGAAATAACTGAAATTCGGAATTAAAAATAAGGAATATTAAAAGTAGAGTATAGAGTCCATATAGAAATACAATTAGGAAATAACTGAAATTCGGAATTAAAAATAAGAAATATTAGAAGTAGAGTATAGAGTCCATATAGAAATACAATTAAGTAAAAAATAGAAATTTGAAATTAAAAAATAAGGAATATTAGAAGTAGAGTATAGAGTTCATATTGGAATTTAAAACCAACTAAAATTCGGAATAAAAAGGAGCCTCCACGTTCGCTCTCATGGCCTAGAAATTCTCACATTAATCAGAGAAAAAGAAAAGGCAGAGTACATATAGAAATACAATTTAGAAATAGCTGAAATTCAGAATTAAAAAATAAGAAATATTAAAAGAGGAGACTAGAGTAGTTATTACACATTAGTAGTTTTGAAAAGTTATTGCAAAATTTAAAATTATGTTGTCATTGTAATATATTTTATAATAATATAATGAGAAAAGATATATGCTTTTATATGAGAGAAAATATAATGATGCTAGCCGCGCAATCTGCGCGGGCCACCATGCTAGTTAGCTTCTAAAACATGAGAACCGTCCAAGATTATAAGCAACACCGAAGATGTAAAAAAGCTGTACCACCATTCGTACTTAGACAGTATGTCGTGCTAGGTGCAAAACTAACATTCACATTCACGACCACATTCACCGCCACGACACTGGTATTTTTAATGAATATTTTTGGCACTTTTTTCCCATCGCGTCCCATTTAGGTGCACGCCCGCGGGGTGGCCTCAGCGATTTTGTGGTGCCCCCGTGCTGCCTCTCCATCTCTTTTATAGCAACAACCAGCGTATGCGTTCTCGGTTTTTCTCCGCGGCGCTTTCACCGCTCTCTCTCTCTCTCTCTCTCTCTCTCTCTCTCTCCTCCGCTTCTTCCTACAAAGCCGTGGGCGCTGCTCGCCGCGGCGGGTCTCTCTCGCGCGCGCAACAACAGCAGCCTCAAAACCCTAGCTGCCCTCGCGACCGGGTCAGGGCCTTCGATTGGATCGGCCATTCGGTTCGTTCCTCCAGGTGCGCGGGGGCTATCGAATCCTCTGTTCTCTCTTCCCTGTTCATGTTGATTTTTTTTCCGAGTTCTTTTTTTTTAACCGTTTGATGCAGCGGTGGGTCGGGGCTGTTAGTTTTTTTTTGTCGTTTCCCCTGCTCAAATCTGTGTATGTTCTTGTTTGGATCTCGTAGAGTTTGTTTCGAAGCTTTCTGGGCGATTCTTTTTTTGAAATACAGGTTGGTGTTCTTCGCCTCAGCCTCTTGTAAATCGAGTGATTTCTCGGTAGGTTGTATTTTTTTCCTTTGCGATTTGTAATAGTACAAGTTTTTGTTCTTTTCTTTGTATTTACAAGGATCTTTTTGCTCTTAAAAGGGCCAAATTTTTATGGGTTCCCTTTATTTGGACGGTCTGTGTTCATTCCGGACCTTTTCCTTTTGCCCTCTTTTATGGTTTCTGTTCAGGGTGAGCAATTTGGTGATATCGCCACCAAATTTGATGGTTTGGTCCTTTTCTCTCATGGTTCTAGGTCCTTTTTATGAATCCTTCACTGCAGGATGTGCAAATTCATCTGATATGTTTCAGTTTCTACTTGTTTGGGGTTACTTACGTTGATTTGATGACACCACTCGTAAGAGTGGCAAATAGTTAATTATTCCATTTGATGAGGGAAGTGGAATATCATTTGCAGTGTTAATCTGCTGTGCTAAATGGCACTATAATATATTATAGTATAATACTCTTAATATTTTCGGTAAAAACAAAACTCTTTAGTAGCTGATAGAAAATGTCACTTAGAATAGTATAATAGGTATAATGCCTTTAATAGTTGATACTTGATAGAAGTGAGTGTTTAGTGGCTTCACACACCTACTGAAGACATTTGTTTGTTTCGATGGAGACTGCAAAACTGATAGATGGGCTATCTAGTATTAGTTCTAATGGAATCTGAAAAGAATTTGGTGTTCTTCTAATTACCCTGTGGCTAATACCTAACCAGTTATGCTGCACAATACCATGGGGTACAAATAACCTGACTTATATATTCGATGTTACATAGATTTTGCCAATTCCCTCCTCCTATTTACTTTACAAATAAACGAAACAGTGTTATATACAAGTATTTGATATAAGTCGTAATGTTTTGTTACTGATATTCACAATATGCTTTTTTTTGCAGGATATTGTTGGTACTTGCATTCCTCCGTCTGTTATTCAAGAAAGCCAGTTTACACTGAGAGAACCTTGCTTTATTTGGTACCACTCACCTTTCCTATCTTCTATTTTCTGCCCAGAGTAGCTACAATTTTCTTCATTGGACCATTGGTACTCACATCGTTAATCATGGTTTCACGTTATATGCAACGACACACTAATCTCAGTTCTTTGTGCTTTCAATAACAAGAAAATGTGTTCATAGTCGCGGTTAAAGTTGCCAAGAGTAATAACTTGATATGGTACCCATAGTCAGGGTTAAAATTGCGAAGCTGTTAGGTTTAGCTACCTGTTAAGTAAGTGAAACCATTCAATTCAGTCCAGATGGCATCTACCAATGGAGCCCAACTTTGAGCATTAGCATGTCCATAATATTGTATGCATGAAAATGATACCGATATAGAAGTATACATTATAAAAGAATATCATCAATCATAGTATTTGAAACTTTCAATCTTTTGTTAACATATGCATGTAACCACTAATGGTTAAAGTTAATTGTGGAGACACTAATGTCCGAAATGATTCACTTACAGACGAATGCAGTATATTTGAGTAACGGAATGTTGTACATACACAAGGATTTGCTTTAAAGATATGCAAACATTGAATTGAATCCAAATTAAACTGTAAAGACCATTTACCATGTGATCTACTAGTGTTGATCATGTCAAAAGTCCACTGAATTTTTTAAATAGATTTTGGTTTCCCTTTGTTCTTCAACTGTCATGATCCTTCACTATTATGGCCCTCTGTAGACATTATTTTCAAAGCATTGCACAGGATGAGATTCTTGACTGTGGCTTAACTTTTTAATTAGCAGGTTCATTGGCCTTTTGTTTTGCCTGAGTGAATGCAATTGGAACCTTCTGGGTAGAAGCTGAAGCTTAGTTTGGAACTTCATCATACTGATTTCATACTCAGAAAGTGGCGAGAAATGGATCGTGATGATATAGCTGGTTTCGTAAGTGGAGGTTGCAAGGCCTTCTGAGTTTTCTGACGAAGCAGATGATAATAGAGTTATGATATACAGAAGTCAGGCAACTGGTTCTTTTCATTTACTATTTGGTTGACGTTTGAAGTTTGTTAACTGGAATGGACAAAGCATCATGTGGCCTTGGGTTTGGTGATAGTATCAACTCCTTAGACACGTCCCGTCATTGGAGCACTGTTCAGCATACTTCTGGGCTTAAAGCTACTACAATTGACTATTCAACGTATTCCAGTTTTTCTATTGCAAGCTCAAAAACACTAAAAAGGAAGCGAAGTGCTATGGCAGGACCAGAAGGTACTGGAAACCCATTACTTACTTTGGGTTTAGGGCACTCACCAAGTTCATCTGACAATAGCAAAGTTAGTTCTGCCACAGCTTATGCAATGTCTCCATCTTCATTGAAAGAGGCTGATGAGGAGTCATCAGCTGATCTTGGCCTGAATTTTGAGCTTTGCCTTGGCAATGATATGGTACATTGTCAAAAGAAATCCCCTGTTGGTGCTGAGAATTCACCATTGACAAACTCTCATAAATTGGATCTTCAGCTGAGTTTGTCTACTGGATCACCTGAATCAGCTGTCACCAACACAAATATGGTGTCACCGATTATTCACGGTGGCTTGGAGATACCTGTTACCAACTGTTCACCAGCTATTATAGGGGAAGGATCTGTACCCTGTACTTGGGTTTTCGAGAAGTCAGTGATTTCATCTTCGTATGCCTCTGAAGCAACATATACCTTCCCATTTTCGAAGGTACCCAAAACAGGGGATGCTGCTATGTCTTCTCCAGTCATATCGTCAACCTTGGTAACAAGTATGAAAAGCCCAGTTGCCTGTACTTCTGGGTCAATTAATCCCCAACAACGCAACAGTATCACTAAAAACTGTCAGTTTCCAGGATGTGTTAAAGGAGCCAGAGGGGCATCGGGGCATTGCATAGCCCATGGCGGTGGTAGGAGATGCCAAAAACCTGGTTGTCAGAAGGGTGCTGAAGGAAGGACCATATATTGCAAGGCCCATGGTGGAGGAAGGAGATGCCAATTTCTTGGATGCACAAAGAGTGCCGAAGGGCGCACAGACCACTGTATAGCTCATGGTGGTGGTCGCCGCTGCAGTCATGATGGTTGTTCCCGGGCTGCACGTGGCAAATCTGGCTTGTGCATCAGGCATGGAGGTGGCAAAAGATGTCAGAAGGAGAACTGTATCAGGAGCGCCGAAGGTCATTCAGGCTTCTGCATCTCTCATGGGGGTGGGAGGCGTTGCCAATTTCCAGAATGCACGAAGGGTGCACAGGGAAGCACAAAGTTCTGCAAGGCGCATGGTGGAGGAAAGCGATGCACATTCTCGGGTTGCAACAAAGGAGCTGAAGGCAGCACTCTCTTTTGCAAGGGCCACGGTGGAGGCAAGCGATGCTTATTTCAGGGTGGTGGTGTGTGCCCGAAGAGCGTGCATGGCGGAACTCAATACTGTGTTGCTCATGGTGGTGGGAAGAGGTGTGCTATTTCTGGTTGCACCAAGAGTGCTAGAGGGCGTACAGAGTACTGCGTGCGCCATGGAGGTGGCAAGAGGTGCAAGTTTGAGGGCTGCGCGAAGAGTGCGCAGGGGAGCACCGATTTCTGCAAGGCTCATGGTGGAGGTAAGCGCTGCTCATGGGGCCAGGTTGACTTGAACTTCGGTGTCGGCGCACCACAGTGTGATAAGTTTGCTCGGAGCAAGACTGGTCTCTGTTCAGCTCACTGTGCTTTAGTCCAGGACCATTGTGTCCGTGGTGGTACATTAGGCGCTGCAACCTTCCAGTTCGCAACTGATGCCAAATTCGACGAGATGGAAGTCACCCCAGTGAAGGGAGATCCTCACGCGCAGGCAAGCAGCGACGACCAGTCTCATCTCGGTGGTGCTCATCCTCCTGCTGTACCGGCGATCACCTCGGATCGATTTTCTGAAGGAAGAGTGCATGGTGGTGGGCTACTGGCCTTACTTTCACGGGGTGGAAACCATGCGAATGCAGGTAACTCAAAGAATGGCGCCCTTCTACCATGATGACATGGGAGTGAGATTCTCTTCAAGAAATTGGTGGCTCGCAGTTTTGATCTGTTTCCAAGAGTTTGTGCTGTGACGGACGGGAAAAACTAGTGTTTTCACATTTCACCAGATGTTCTTGTGATGCTTGGATTTGTTGTTATGGCCCTCTCCCGTGTGCTATATATAAATAAGGAGCTCGTAGAGCGTGGAGTACCGGGCTTTCTGTCTTCCGTGCTATTGTAGTTGATGTCGTTGAACTGCCCTTCTGTCAGAATTCATGTAATCTTGGTACTTCGTGTTTATTTGTATTGTCAGTGATTTGCCTTGCTGCTTTGCTGTTGGAAAATTGTCGTGTATTTTTGTTGATAGATTATATATATTGCCTTTTCGTTGCAAGCCTAGCTGTTAATACGCTCGTTTCTTGTTTTACAATTATTGCAGCTGATCGTTCTGTTCTTTCTTGCCGAAGAGGCTTTCTCATAGATACAGCAAGGCCATAATACAATTATTTTTTCTTTGCAATTTAGCACGGACAGTTGAGTGGAATCTCCCGTTATTGAGTTGATAATCTTCGGTCCAGAGAATGACAAGAAAAAGTATGCGAGATCAACACAAGGTCCGGCGCAAAGCCAAATCTACAGAATCTAGGATTGCAACTCGATGTCCTGGATGATCACACCCATCAAATGGGCAAATTTACAAAGCCTCGAACATCAGCGGGGCAGGACAAAACTGGACAAAAACAATCACACCCATCAGGTTGCGACCGGTTAGGACATTAGTCGAGGCAAAGAATGAACAAAATTTCCTGCTGAAAGAATCATCGCCCTAAGTATGTGGTTAAGTGCTACCGATCTACCGTCCTAGTATCATTCAAGCTACCAGCGTCTTCTGGCGGTGGCTTTATATACCTCCCTAAAGTTTTTTGTCGAGCTCTCTTCTTGATTCTCTGGATCTTGTCTTTGCTCTGCTGCTTCCTCCGCTCCTTCTCCTGCTGCCTCATGTTCCGCTCCCGCTCGTACACGCCTTGCCAGAACACTTCGCCGGTTTTCGGCCAGAGCCACCTCCGGTCAGGATGATCCTCGTCGAACTCTTCTGCCAGGTCCTCGTCCATGCTCTTCAGAGTGGCGAGGGAGAACCATTGGATTGACATCTGACCTCTCCTGCCGTTGAGCAGATGTTGCTCCTGCATCGCACCAGTCTCGGGGTCTACATAAACCATCCTCCTTGAACTGTGGAATGCCCAAACGTTTACGATCAACTCAAGAACACGGGAGTAACAGTGTTGGTCCTGTGCAAATCAACAGAGCAACGAGACAGAATTAGAGAAGGCCATAAAGAAAACTAATGGAAGTATAATAGTATCCATTCGAACTCTCACTATGTTTTGAAATTTTCAGATCTATACATGACACTACGTGTGAGCATATTTCATTGAATTCAGCTGAACTGCGCTGCAACTGAAAGAACATTAAAATGAAATTTGTTTCATCTAAATAAAGTAAGAGATGGACGCACCCTGTGAAGACTCAATATGCAATGCCCTGTTTCATGATGTTTGTCGTACATTTGTGCATCCAGAGCATCTACAAACATTCTGGAAAATTGCAGCATATCAGTAGTGGCAACCAAGTAGCTAAAACTGTACTACCTCCGGTCACTTTTATTTGTCGTTTCAGACAAAAGTTTTGGCTTATTTTCTTTGTAAATTCCTTGTCTCAAACGTCAACTAATTATGACCGGAGGGAGTAGATTATAAGACAATCACATTGGGTGGGGTATAAAAGACGAGCAATGCAGCTATATAACAAATCAATTGAAGAAAAGGCTATTTAGATGCCTACCATGATGCTACTATAGCAAGAATTACTTTGACCACATGCCAATTGAAATTGAAAGAGTTTACTTTAGACCGCCCAATATCTGCCCAGGTAATCACAGGCTACGCTGTAACATTTGAAAGTATTCATGTTAACATTCATTGCCACCACACCAATTCTGCGTACTTTAATGTTATACGTTTCAGCATATTGTTAATCTCTAATTTCAGTCTCTACAGCAAGCTTATCACTGTGATACAAATTCTAATTTTACAAGTTTTTAAAAGGCAACAGTAGTTGGTGGCAGTGAATCCTATTACACTTTAGTCTTTCTAAATATTGCTAATTTCATATTTCCATCCCTAAAACTCAAGTTTATCAAGGAAAGGTCCATGATTACAAAATCATCACATATACATATCACAGAAATGGTAATTTGCAATTAGAACAATGTAAAAAGAAGTTAAGTGCTCCCTATAATAACAAAAGTAACAATAATGTGAAGTGTGTTCACTGAAAAAACTCTTTGTTTCAAACAATATTATCACATGTACGATTCATTTTTCTCTAGTAGAAAGATAACAGGCATTTAGCTATTTTGAGCAAATATTAGTAGCAGTGTTGGTGTACTTGTGCTTTGAAATGTATACACCAACAGTTAGCTAGTGACATCTTCCACTTAATACTGCTATGTTGACTATTGAATTCCAAAAGAGATAATGTGCACCTTGAGAACATTACAAATTCCAGGAATGATCTCGTAGGCAAAACCCAGCTTTGCATCACAGACCAAGTGTCTCCATCATTAGGCATTAGTGGCAGGGTATGCAAATCATCATCAAGCTGCACGCCATACATCCTTTGAAAAGCTTTCAGAACAGCTGACCTTCAAGATAGTAATTGTGTAGTGGATTAGTTCATCCATAACAGCATTCAGTTCAGTTTGGCAGCATCATCGGAAATTCTATATGATGAAGCTAACTGCTTTTGGTTGGAATATTGATATTCATAAACAGAAAAGTAATGAAAAAAGTCTTGCGGTTTAGTAATAATAGTAGAATAAACTTATGAGTTATGTCCAATCCAAACAAAATCATTTTAAACTGGAGCATTTGTAATACTGGAATTGCAGTCTATGCAGCATGTATAAATGGTTAACCTGCAATTCCCAGCATTGATCGCATCACAGAAGGACCAGAAATCTTGGCTTGCTAGGTTCCTTTCATCTTGGTCCATCCGAACCCAAAAATAGAAGGCATCTCCATGCTTTTGAGTTTGAATAGCTTCCAAAAGTGCAGTTTCAGCCTTTTTCGACAAGTTTGCCTGTTCAGTATAAATTGTTGGCTTAATCATTATGCAAGACCTCTCTGCTTTGCATTCTTAAAAGGATCAAAGCATATGAATAACATGGTTAACCAATGATTCATTCATCAAGTAAATTCATGATTTACCAATCATACACGTCGATTAAAATTAAGGGGGCTTAAATGCAAATAAAATTTGATCTTCTACCTTTCTTGCTGTCACTCTCCACGACTGAAATCCTATCCAAGAATTTTTATGAATTCGATCAATCCTGTTGGCTAGAGCAAAGAAAGCTCCAAATTCACCAAGAATATCTCTGTAGTACCCATTGTTCAGCAGTGGAAGACGAGAAGAAGCATCAATGTCATCTGCGCCAGGCCTTCGACCTTTTGAAGACTAATCAAAAAAATAAACTTCATTGATCAATGTAAGTCATTGGAATATTTGGAAACAGTCAATTATATTTGGCTAGCCATATATATGTTTCATCAATTACCCTTTTATGATACATCATTCTTCTCAGACTTTAGGATAAAGTTTAGATGGATTAGATATACAGAAGCTTGAGAGCTAAATGGATTTATAATTCTGGAATAATCCCCTCAAAGATTGAGAAATCATGAGGATCTCTCCCTCCTGAAGTGGCTCTTCAAGCCACATGCGACAGTTTGCAAGTTATCTCCAAGTTAACATTTAGAAATACTGTTAGGTTTTCATCAAAAGTTGGAAATTCCCACTCCATATTAGGTGAACATATGTAACAAGTCATGAAATCAGGTATATACCAGTTTAGAAAGGAGTGGTCCAAAATTTTGGAATCTACAACTACTGCTCTTTTTTTCGTTTATAACATCAGAAATGGTTTCAATGAACTCCTAGTTCGACCATTCAGGTAAAGCGCAAAGAGACAACAAAAACTTACCAGACCAATTCCACGATAAAGGGAGCTTCTATGCAGAAAGGGCCAAGTCCCCTCCCCAAAGAAAGGTTCGTATATAGAAAGTGGCTGACCTGTCCGCTCCAGCTCCTTATCATCTCTTTCATGCAAGTCATTCTTCATCCTCTCTACTCTTTTGACATTTCTATACACTTCCTCCCATGTTCCATGAGGCTGTTCACTCCTCTCTTTCAGCTGCATAATATCAATCCATCCACTTACTTGCAAGTGTTCTTTCCAAAACTGTAAACTGCATGTCAAATTTAAAAGCAATTGCATTTGTAGTTTTGTACTTACCTCCTCTTCTTCCAATCTCTTTTTAATGTTTGCTATCTCATCTGCTCTCTCTTCCTCCCATGCCATAAGAGAGAACGTATCATCAATCTTTGATGCATTACTGTGATGATCTTCCATTTGGTTGCTGCGCCACTTCTCCTCTAGTTTCTGGAGTATATTGTAGCCAGCCAAAGTCCCATTCATATGGTACAAGTGCTTCACATCCTCAAAAAGATGCCATTTCCACTCTTGTTTCAAAGCAACAGGAATCTCCCCAGCAGTTAATGGGGTTAGTACTTCAGCAGGAAACTTGATAACGTTTTCCAATAGCACAGCATACCCTTCAATGGTTTCTGAAGCCATAAGATTCTTGGCATGGACCTTTCCAGCTGATGCAATTTTTTGCCCCAGAACAGATATCTTCCCATTTGATACTGCTTGCAATAGAACTTGTGTTAACTTGCCAATGTTCTTACTTGGAAAAAGAAGTGCATTCATCCCATCATCAATCTAAGACATCAAGATAAATGTGTCAGTTAGCATCTTAAAATCTACAATAACTGGTATTTGAGCTGACAAGTACAATCCTGATAGAATATGATATGTATCCGTGAACATACATATTTTCTGATAATTTCAAGGTCTGGAGCTATAACCAGCTTCTCAAGACACATAGCTTGGACTAGCACACTCGGGAAGGATTGCTCGTTAAGGCAAGAACCATATATAACAAGGTCAGATATACCAAGGAGGTTGTCCTTATCTTCAGAAGCAACATGTTCCACTGCACCCCTTGGAAAGCCAACATTTAAAGAAACAGCCTATAATAATCAAACAGCACAAGCAATTAGACCAAATTTTAAAGCTTTAAAACTTCTGAAAAGCAAATTTAGTGAAGAAAGGCAGAAGGAGCGCTAAATAATAACCTCAAGGGCCATCCTATGCTTCTCAGTTACGTTTTCTGCCAAGATTCTCACTTTGAGTTCAAGTTGTGTGCTATTCTCAGAAGGATACTGTTGTAACAGAGACCCTACTGCTTGTAAGACAAGTGCTTCTTC